AGTGTGCCAAAAGCACAGTTGGGCACACCTGGGCACACTCATTGGTACTGTTTGGCATGATCATTCAACATGATCTTTGTAGTTACTGACAACAGTATCTTTGTTTCAAATCTCGCGCAACACTAGAAAAAGGCCCATCATTGTTGATCGATTCTCTTCATCGATTTTCTTTTTCGCGAATAACCCGACTGCAAATGAATGTCCCATTCAGTGTTTTGTTGCAGGCGCAATCTAACATCATCTTCTGTCGAACTGTGCTGCGAGCTTAGCGAGAAATTCGTTAATGTCTGTCCGATGCGCAAATCCTTATGCCTGTCCGAGAAGTAACTCATTCCGCGCAAGGACGACTAAAACCAGGGCAACCGCTAATGATCAACATCGTTGCATCCACATTCCGCAAAGTACCGGTTGTGATATGAATAAAATGCCGAAATTGCCTGTAGATTTTGTCGTGACCTGACCGAGTTTTGCAGCCTCGGCCATGTCTTTAAAAAGATCAGCGAGATGCTCATCCGTAAGAAAGGTACTCTTATAGGTATTAAATGGATCTGGCTAGTTTTAGCTGGCATTTATTTTACTATGGTTGAGGGATTGCGACTTTCGATCGTTCCGGTGGCACTGCGTGGGAAATTCCTTTCCCTGCACTTTCTTAATGCATCCACCTTTGTAGTAGCGGAAAACTTTCGTCATATTCTACAGTGTCACCGTTTTCCCATCAGGAACTTAATCTCTTCATTCCGATTTCTTCTCGTCCAGCTCGTACATGACCTTGACTACCTTAAACCGTGCAGACGGTGCATTGATCTCCGCAGACGGTTTTGATCCCCGGAAGTACTCTAGTGATTTCAATAGCAGCAGCTTGCCCCAGCTGCTGTGGATTTAAAATGTAATCAGATGCGTTACGATGGTTACGATACTGCTTTCGTCGAAGGATTTGACAAACATCTGTAGCGGTCGGAGGAACTCGATCCTCTTTTCAAAGAAATCCTACGGTCGTGCCGGTTTGTCTGGTATCAGTTTGTTCATCTAGAGTGCCTCTGGATCATCGTTTTGCTACTCGTTTTGGTTCGGATTCTACTGATTGCTGTGTTGTTCCTTCTCCTTAAAAATAAAACATTTGAACGGTCACATTAACCGGGTTGCCAAGAATTCTCATGTCAAAATTGGAACAACCGATTATCTGTCAAAGTCATAGAAAAAGTTATTTCAATCGAGCAGAAGACCTTCTTCTTTCCTTTATTTAACGTCGGTCTCTGTTCCGCAATCTAGTGCCAATCACCGACGGACATCGATTGCCATCCATTGACGGCAATCGAATGTGCAGAAAGGCAGCTTCCACACCTGCGTAGGATATCGCACCCAGTCAACACACATGAGCCGGGACGAACGGCTTTACTTCCCTTCCAAAGGAAGACGTGACCAGAGATTTTTATGCCTCAGAAAAATCCCACCGACCTCGGCTGGGATTGAACCCATTGGGGTGAGAAAGCAGTCACGCTTACCACTAAGCCACCGGCGCCGGCACGAGCAGAAGACCTGTCAAATTGATAAGATCAAGACCAACAATAGAAAAGGCCTCAACTCTATTTTGTAAACAGGCCTTGTAGGGCCATTTTGTCGAGAACCGAAGTCCGCCAACTCAAACCAAAAAAATGAACTGGGGCCGGATTGCGCATCTCGAAACGAATAACTTTTTCATACAAGCGTTCGTACAAAATGTCTTTCGTTTCGAGATGCGCAATGTGCTTCCTGGTAGGAGAAATTCTGTTCTACTCGATTGTGTTTTAGGATTGCGAATGTAGGTTTCGGATCACGAGAAAATGGCGTTACAAGGTTTGCTTACAAAATAGAGTTGAGGCCTTTTCAATTGTTGGTCTTGAGATGTCACCTCTTTACCCAATTCTGGATCAACAATAGAAAAGGGCCCATCAGCATTTGTAAACAAACCGTTCCAAAGCCCTTTACTCACAAAGCGAAGGCCACCCACACAAACCAACACCATCATCGGATAGGGGAAACTTCTACCTACACGATGATGGTGTTGGTTTGTGTGAGCGGCCTTCGTTTTGTGAGGAATGGGCTTTGGAACGGTTTGTTTACAAATGCTGATGGGCCCTTTTCTATTGTTGATCCAGAATTCTGTCTCTTTAAGTCAGATAACTTGTAAGGCCGAAGCGGAATGACAGCGAAAGCGGAACAGCAGCGCAAAAGCCCGATCTGAGTAGCCTACTTGCCGGATTGAAAACTAGTTCGAACCCAATCGACTTCGGTGAGGCATCTTGATGTCATTTGTAACCACTGTCAAACTTGCCGTTTCCTTTTCGCTCTCAGACACATTGCTTTTGGGCCTTGAGCAGTGCTGAGAATTGTCATTGTTAGAGTCGGTGTATAATGAGTCACGACAAGAGAAAAACAGTTGAACTCGCATCACGGTTTTCGAAAGATTCCCTTTCTTTTAACTTGGCAACAGAGGACTTCTGCATCAACTTCAAATGACTTCTAGCGAGGAAAAAAATTAACGGCTGTAGTAAATCATTATATCAGTGATTTTGTCGAATTATCTTAAAGAAAAATAGTAGAAATTGTCATTACTGATCATTACAAAACGTATCGCATGACAAATGTAATGCTCACTGCGTGTATATGATCATTTCTACGATTATATTTTATATTTAATTGCAATACGTTTCGTGGACCTTTCACAGCATCGTAATGCTTGTTTACTTTGCACGATAGGTAGCCGGTTTGACAGTTCAATAGGTAGACTTGGCTTCACTCTTGGCGTAACTCATTATACACCGACTCTAGTCATTGTCATTGACAGACTTTCGCACGATATTGACAAAATTGTTTTTCACATAGTCACTGATAGACTTGATCTTAAAAAAAAACACCTTTGTCAAAATCTCATTCATTTTTTCGTCAATGGCAAAGATTCACCTAGTAACAAAAAGTGTCATTTCGTGCATTCTGAGTCACATTATTGTTATCCAAGCAGTTCAGGACGTAGATGCTTGTTCACTTTAACGGCTCCATGTAATTGTTTTGGTCAAGTAATTTAATTTTGTTTCAAATGCAATAAAATCTGCACATCTTCGTCACTGACAGCATTGTCACTGACAGCATTGTCACTGACAATTGACATGGTTTGCCTTGACGATGACTGTTAGCTCATGTGAGTGACCAAAGCAGAATTTTGAATATCGCCGTATATTGTTGAGATTTTGCAGCACTGGCCTTGAGCACTCACCATGACAGGCCTGCTTGGCAACTCACAACAGATCACAAGCTTTTATTACAAATTTTTACGGGAATTTCTTTTGCTTTTGGAAAACGAATGGTGAAATAGACAGATCACAAAACACATATTTCAGTTTTGTACAGTGAACGGAAACGATATATTTTGGCATTGTAGAAACACCGCTTTTGGCACAATTCAAACCAGTGACCTTTTATCATCCAGAACTGATTTCGAACTCAAATTATAAGTACGTATTTAAAACCATTCCTGTGCCAACAGCAGATATCATTTTCAGTTGCAAACATCCATAATGCAACTTTGGATCAAAAATACACCCAACCAGCCAACCATCCGAGACTCCGAAATGAATTATGTAACAACCGTTCGGGAAAATTAAAATCAAAATAGTATAACTAATTCACCGCACGAAAGCTTGCAACTGCAAACGACGAGCTTGCTTTCCCCGCCGTCAACGGACAAACGATCTGCAACACCGATTCATCATCCCCCCCCCCCCCCCCCAGCAGTGGCATATTATAGGAGAAGTTTAAATTATCAACAACATTATTCAAATGCGCTTCATTCCTATTTTGCGCTGCTCTCGATTGTGTACGGCGAGAGACATTGTGGTGACATGCCGTAGCTCGGAAGGCGGGCCATTTGAATTTTGAATCCACTGCTCAACCGTAATCAACGACTGCCCTCGAACCCCACTTGGAAAATTTCAAAATAGATGCATTATTAAATCAATTTCCATTAAATCAAACACCGGCACGGCCCATTTGAAAATTTGAAAGTTTATTAATTTCCTTTCAATCGAAGCAATCGCACTTGTTTGCGGGGCGCAAATTGACAGGCCATTTGACAAGTGCAGTGCTGCCAAAACGCTGCGAACAACACGCATTGAAGTGCGATCGATAAAATAGAGCTCCACTACTGCAACGTTGCACGTGCACTTCGACTGCACGAGTGCATTGCAGTCGATTGCTGGCAATAACGATGCCTGATAATGATGATGTTCGAAAGAATTTCACCACCAATTGTGGTTATAGTTTTTTATTATTTTATTTATATCTAGAGCGATTGTTGCCAACCCACGGTAATAACAAACCATAAAAATACGAACCACACCCCGCTCGTGATTCACTCACACACCCATCCCGTCTTTCCCCCATCATCATCATTATAACAAAACATAATGCAACGCGATGAAACCGCACGATAGCATAATACGATAGGTATCACACTTTGTGCATGTTAGTGTATATATATCCAATCCATTGTTTGGCGAAAGGTACACTACAAGCAGCAATAAGGGAGCGTGTGAAAGTTGAACACGAATCAACAAATAATGCAAAATATTGAAACAAATTTGGCACCGATGAATCAAATTAATTAAGGGGATGATTTGAAATCGCACCCCTCGCCTCGCAGTTGGCCATGGAGCAAACTTGACAGAAGGCCAAGGTTGGTAAACGAAAAGGTCGCACGTGCACAGGCTTACTGCGATTAGTCAAGATTCTCATTAGAACCGACGCACCTCGGAAACGAGCTCCTATCGCTAGACACAATAGTTAACAAGCAATAAACCGATACGCAAAAAAAAATAATACAAAGAAGACCATCATCAATCCCTGACGGCGACGGCGACGGCCTCCGAGGATGATGTTGATGATGGTAGAAAATGGAAAAACCTCCACAAGAGTGCACTAATATTCTTTCTTTTCTCTGTGTCCCGTTTTTTCTCTATTCCTTACAGGTCTCTACCCAAGTTGAGCAGTCAGGATGAAGAAGGGGGGGCGGCGCACGGTTTTGGGGGAGGCCATACTCATTTTGAACCAATACCGCACGATCACGACTTCTGCGAGAGAGTTGTTATAAACGTAAGTATAGAGATTGATATTGGAAAATCCATCCCTTACTCTTTCCTTATCCTCCCCTTTCGTCCCATTTTCCCGATGATGCCTTTTTGTTCTTAAACTTTGCCCTTTATCTGGAGTATCCATTCGGTAAGGCGCGGTTGGTACACTTGACAGCATTGTTGATGCAATATTGTTTCGATGGAGAGTGAACAGTTGAAGCAAAAAGCTCCAATTAACCATGGGTGCCAGAGCCGCCCTTGACCTTTGTTTCCTGAATTTCCACAGAAAATTGCTTAAATTTGAAACGAAAGTTCCTCAATCACAAACTGAAGGTTTTTTGAAGTTACCTATAATAGCACCACATCATATCTAATGATATGCTGATAGTTTCCCACACTTGCACTAGATGTTCTGATAAAGTTGATGGTGAGTTCCAATAGAAACTCCGGCAAAAGTGCTCACATCGATAGATGAATTCTCATGTGATTTGAGCAGAGATCGAATTCTCGCTCAGCTGCGATGCATCACTCAAGGTGCTTTTCGCAGCGCTGAGAATCGCTCTCTCAAAATCGGTTTATCATCTCCCATAGGGCGACCTAAAAAAAATCGATTGGGTGTTGCTGGAGTCCGAGCAGGAGTGCAGCAAATGAGCGTTTAAGCTCAATGTGATGTAAACAGGTGAGTCGATATGAATGTATCGGCTCTTTTGATCGCCTGCTGTTTAAATGTATGGCAGAGTTTAACCACCGACGAACCGATATGCCACTGGAGCATTTCGTTTGTTCGCAATTCGATTTGTCAAATGAGCGATTCTATCTGACAAACGGGCGATCAGATCTGTCAAACAAGGTGAGACGCAAATATACACAGCAAGCTAATAACAAGCTAATATACATTTTACGTGTGTGCGTATCCTTGCTCACGATATGACGCGATCGGATGAGTAGATGGCGGTAGTGTTAAACGTATTTTAAATATGGCTTACCTTACCTTACCAATCAGGCTAAGGCCTTGTTGTCCTCTGCTGTTGTTGTCGTCTCCACTCTACTCGATCCATGGCCAGAGTTCGCCAGCCTCGTAGTCTGCGAACGGCCCGCAGGTCACCTTCTACTTGGTCGATCCACCTTGCCCGCTGCGCGCCTCTTCTTCTTGTTCCTGTTGGGTCGCTTTCGAGAACCATTTTCACTGGGTAGCCGTGCGGTATTCTTACGACGTGCCCAGCCCACCGTAGTCGCCCAATTTTTGCAATGTGGACGATGGATGGTTCTCCCAGCAGCTGATGCAATTCGTGGTTCATCTCTCATCTCACTCCACCGTAGATGGTACGCAACACCTTCCGTTCGAAAACACCAAGGGCGCGTTGGTCCTCCACGAGCATAGTCCAGGTCTCGTGGCCGTAGAGGACCACCGGTCTAATCAGCGTCTTGTAGACGTGCGACGGCGAATTTTATTCGACCGGAGCGTCCTCCGGAGTCCAAAGTAGGCACGCCATAATGCGTTTTTGAATATCTCTGCTGGTATCATCGGCGGTCACCAGTGAGTCTAAATACACGAACTCATCGACCACCTCGATTGCGTCACCGTCAATCTGAACTCGGGGTGAGAGGCTAACATTGTCTTCCCTAGAACCTCTTCTTTTCATGTATTTTGTCTTTGATGCGATGATGGCAAGTCCAATCCACCTAGCTTCAGCCTTCAGTCTGATGTACGTTTCCGCCATCATCTCAAAGTTCCGTGCCATAATGTCAATGTCATCGGCGAAGCCAAGGAGCTGGATGGACTTCCTGAATATCGTGCCACTCGTGTCTATCCCAGCTCTTCTGATCACACCTTCCAACGCGATGTTGAACAGCAGACACGAAAGTCCATCACCTTGCCGTAACCCCCTTCGAGATTCACTCGAGAGTGTCCCTGATACTTGAACAACGCCGCCTTGACCAATCGCGTCAGTTTATCCGGAAATCCGTACTCGTGGATAATCTGCCATAGCTGATCTCGATCGATTGTGTCGTATGCGGATTTGAAATCGATGAACAAATGATGTGTGGGCACGTTGTATTCGCGGCACTTCTGCAGAACTGCCGAATCGCGAAAATTTGGTCCGTGGTAACGCGGGCACCCATGAATCCCGCCTGGTATTGCCCCACGAACTCTCTTGCAAATGATGACAGGCGGCGGCATAGAATTTGGGAGAGTACCTTGTAAGCGGCGCTCAGCAGTGTGATCGCGCGGTAGTTGCAGCAATTCTACTTGTGTCGCCCTTTTTGTAGGTTGGGCATACGACACCTTCCATCCACTCCTCCGGTAATATCTCCTCCTTCCAAATCTTGGCAATTACCCAGTGCAGCGCTCTAGCCAGTGCTTCACCACCGTATTTCAATAGCTCACTTGGTAGTTGATCTACACCAGTTGCTTTGTTGTTCTTCAGCCGACCGATCTCCTCCTCAACTTCTTGAAGATCAGGGGCCGGTAGCCTGTCGTCTTCTGCGCGTGCTCCAAGGTCTGTTGCCGTGCCACCTTCGTTTTCTGCTGCTTCACCGTTGAGGTGCTCGTCATAGTACTGCTTCCATCTCTCAATCACCTCACACTCGTTCGTGAGAAGGTTACCGTCCAAGTCCTTGCACATATCCGCTTGCGGCACGTAGCCTTTGCGCGAACTATCTAGCTTCTCGTAGAACTTCCGTATGTCGTTTACGCGGTACAGATTTTCCATCGCCTCGCGATCTCGGTCTTCCTGCTGACGCTTCAACCTTCGAAAAACCGAGTTTTGTCTGTTCCGCACTTGTCTGTAACGCTCCACATTCATTCTCGCCCGTGCTGCATTCTTGTCCTCTACTAACAGTTTGCATTCGCCGTCAAACCAGTCATTTCTTCGGTCCGGGATTGTAGTACCTAGTGCCGTTGCAGCAGTACTACCTATGCCGGAACGGATGTCCCTCCAGCCATCTTCAAGAGAAGCTGCGCCAAGCTGCTCTTCCGTGGGTAGGGCAACTTTCAGCTGCTGCGCGTAGTCCTGGGCAACTCCGGCGTCCCGTAATTGCTCAATGTTGGATCACGGTGTTCTACTTCGACGAGTGTTATGCACCGTCGAGAGTTTTGAGCGCATGCATACTGCAACTAGGTAGTGGTCCGAATCTATGTTCGCACTGTGGTACGTGCGGAGGTTGACAATGTGGGAGAAGAATTTCCCATCGATTAGAACGTGATCGATTTGGTTTTCTGTGTGTTGGTCAGGTGGTCTCCAGGTGGCTTTGTGGATATCCTTGCGGGGGAAAAAGGTACTTCGAACTACCATACCCCGAGAGGCTGCAAAGTTCAAGCATCGTTGGCCGTTGTCGTTCGATACGGCATGCAGGCTGCCTACCTGAGCGTTCATGTCGTCGTTGACGATTTTGACGTCCCGTTGCGAACAGCCATCGTACACCTGCTCCAGCTGCGCATAGAACACTTCTTTCTCGTCGTCGGGTCTCCCTTCGTGTGGACAGTGCACGTTGATGATGCTGTAGTTGAAGAAACGGCCCTTAATCCTCAACTTGCACATCCTCGCGTTGATCGGCTGCCAACCAATCACGCGTTGGCGCATCTTACCCAGCACTACAAAGCCGGCTCCCAGCTCTTTGGTGGTTCCACAGCTCTGGTAGAAAGTAGCCGCTCGATGCCCGCTTTTCCATACCTTTTGTCCCATCCAGCAATGTTCCTGCACTGCAACGACTTCGAAGTTGCGTGGTTGCAGTTCCATGTTCCGAGTTTCCAATCGTAGTCCTTATTTCGTCGCGTAGGTCTGTGCCGATTGTTCCGATCCGTATTTCTTTCTTCAGTATTTGCAACTTTGTTTTTTTTTCAGGGCGGCTTGTTGGGCCTGCCCCAACCCCCTGTCTCGCCGGGGGACCATCGTGCACAGCTCTGTTTAGAGTCCCACGCTGGCACTAGGACGGTGATCAGCCGCTCCTAACATGGAGAACTGACGCCGTTTTGAGCCGCACCTCCATGATGAACAGACGCTCAGGTTTGGTGAAGCATTTCCTCTATCACCGAACTATGGTTACCGCGCCAGTGTTCGCGTCGCACCTCTTCACTTTGCTATTACCGAACTGGCAACATTGCCCAGGCTACGCCATCCAGCTGTGTCCATGTTTCAACTGGTAGTCTTTTGTTATCATATGACTAGAGGAGGCGTGAAGTAGGAACTTGTGAGGACCAGGGCTAGGTATTCCGCTCCTTCCAGGCTGTCAACTCACCATTTTGTAGCCCTGAGCCAATTTCCATGATTTGCAAAACTCAATGATGCATTGGTCGTAGTCCTTTTGTTGATTTGCACCGAAACAGGCATCAATAACCTTCTGCAATGCATCGAGAACATTCACAAAGTGTTTCGAGGTTGAGTCACCAGTATCCAACAAGGCTCGCTTCGTCAGCAGACTGCGGCAGTGCCTCCCAGTAAACCCGAACTGCGCATAACGTGTTGCGCTTGACGCTATGGTCCAAGCCTGTGCAAGATTGGAATCGTGCTCTGCAATCGCATTGTATATCGCATTAATCATACCCAGAAGAAGATGCAACGAGGGTGGCGGGCACACATCCAGTATTAAGGTTGCGTCATTTCCAGGCATAAGCGGTGTGTGTACGCAGTTGAAATGCTCTTTTGCGTTTAACTTGTTGCCTCCATTTGCAATCCACGATGCGCTGTTTTCCCTAACGGACCAGATTGTACGCAGCGTGCCAAACTTCTCCCCTAAAACTTTCTTGTTCACGGTACAGAACGCGCAAGGATACGTTAAACTATTGCTCATTACACCCGCTATTATATTAATGATCTTGAGATCACCTAGAACGAAAGATCAAAATGAAGAACTGTTTCAAGTACCGTAAGACGGGGTATCTTTGATAATGCGGGTAACTTTGATAGTATAATGTAAAGATTAAATTTACTAGCTGCGCTTTTTCTAAATAAGAAATATTGGTTCCATATTGTAGCTTAGGGTATTTTCGTTGATATCGTATATAGTTTTTATATAGTATGT